GAAGAGGATGAATTTTCTTCAAAATATCCACCGTCTAAGACCTTGCTACTTGAGGTTGGAACTCTTTGAAGTGGTGGAAGCACCTTGGAGGATTCTCCAATGGTGGAGAAGCACCTAAGAGAGGATCGGTTACCTCTTGATAAACTGAAGAATCTTGAGCAACCAAGCTTCTAGGAGAATAATTTTGAGAGAGAACTAAGAGATTTTGTTCTCCACGGATCCAAGACTCTTGAGTTGAGAGAGAATTCTGAATTCTATTTCTCAAATTGTTCAAAAGTGATTACAAGAGTAGAAATTACAAATATATAGAGGTAGGTAGCTTAAGGAGCAAGCTAACCTTAACCATGGTTCACTAGGAACCATGGTAAGGTTAGTTGACCTTTTAGGTGAGTTTAGAAACTTGTGTAGCAAGCTTCTTACTTAGCTTGCTTGGGAAGCAAGCTAAGGAGAAGCTTGTAGCACAAGCTTCTCAACCCTAAGTGAAGAACAAATTTCGGCCAAGGAGAGGGAAACTAGGCTAGGCGGATTTGGCTCTCATTTGCTCCATAATTTATTTTCAAAAATGTTTGGTTTGGTCTAGTTAGGTCCATCCAAAAAAGATGAAACCTAGCTAGATAAAACCTATGAAAAATTAGGATAAAAATGAGTCCAATATGTAAAATTTTGCCTAGGCCTAATTCTGGCCCAATTGCTATTCACACCCTCAAACATTGCTAAATGCCACCCCTTTTCCCTACTGAAAAAATATAAAATGAGTGTATCAACAAAGGAAGTTAAATGGAGTTAAACTCTCCAAGTAACCTACACTAAAATCAATATACAATCACTAATAAAAGCAAGTAAAGTGCCTCACAAATACAAAGGCAAAAATATGTTGATTCATGGAGTGGAGAATCAACTCAAACTTGGAGAATGAAGGTTTTGATGATAACAAAATGTGGATTATGAGAATCAAAGCTGACCAAGGACATTCCCTACCATGGAGGAGATGATGGCATTGATCAATGGCTTGACAGAAGAGCACGATCCAGAGAGAGAGGAGGCCATTCAGCGAGAAAACGAGGAGATCAGACGACGAGCCGACGAGATGCAGGCCATGATAGCGGCTAATATGAGGACAGCAAAAGAAGATAGTATGAAGGAAGTTCTAGGGAATGAGCCTCGAAGATTTGATCAAATACGAGTTGGGTGACACAAGGTAGGGTTTACATGCTCGGCGCGTTATACTTCATGCCCGACACAGGGTCTTCCAGAGAGGTAATTATTCTCTGTCTCGAATCACGCCTGGCGTGTGTGCTCCTATGCCCAGTGCAATGTCTTTCAGAGAGTTTTGAATGCTCTTTGTTCTGAAGCACGCACGGCGCGAATGCTCTTGCACCCGGCACAATGCTAAAGTGCATAGGTGATGCTCTTTGTGTTTCTCAAGCCCGGTGCGGGTAGTTTGCGCCTAGTGCAATGATGCTTCTCTTACTCCTTAGCTCTTTCAATTTCCAATCCAATGGGTCTTCAACCTCAACTCTTTAACTCAATACCTGCACAAAAAAATAGGTGTATCAGGGTATTGTCAGATGATTTTTTGGTTAGCTATATCTGCACAAAAAAATTAATCAAAAAAGAACAATAATATTGCAAGAGTGCATGGGATGGGTGGAATTGTTCAATAAGTCCTATCTAAAAAGAAGTATAATTAAGAATAATAATAAGCAGTATCTGGTCGAGTGATTGTAGCATACTGCAATGCTCCTATTACCGATCTATATAATTGAGGATCTTGAGCTTGATTAGTGCCATCAGCTAGAAGTTTGGTTGAAGGAGCAAATAGAGTTTTTATTAGTCTTGCATTTGACATATTAGTCTTTGTTAATAAGTTTGAAATGTACTTTGTTTGAGAGAGTTGAAGGCCACCATTTGAAGCTGGTTGAACTTCTAGACCAAGAAAATGATGCAACTTCCCTAGATTTTTTAGAGGAAATTCTGCATTGAGTTTAGCTATTAAATTGGAAATTGCTTGACCGGAGCTGTTGGTGATGATAATATCATCTACATACACTAACATAAATATTGTAAATTCTTGTGTATGAAGAGTTAAAAGAGGTGTCACTTTTGGTTTCCTTGAAGCCAAGTCTGTGGAGAGTTGAGCCAAGCTTTTGAAACCAGGAACGCAGTGCTTGTTTTAAGCCATAATGTGCTTTGTGATGTTTTCATACAATGTTGTCATTACCATTACTGAAACCTGGTGGTTGTTGCATATAGATTTCCTCCTGAAGAGTGTCATTGAGAAAGGCATTATATCAATGTCAAGTTGATGGATTAGCCAGCCTCTTGATAGAGCAATGGAAAGGACTATCCTGACGGTGACTGGCTTGACTACTGGGTTGAAAGTTTCGATGAAGTCAAGCCCTTCTTGTTGTGTAAATCCAGGGGCAACCAACCTGGCCTTATGTCTGCTAATTTTTCCTTTAGTATCATATTTTATTTTAAACAACCATTTGCAGGTAACAGCTTTCCTACAGGGTGAAAGTTGAACAAGACTCCAAGTTTTATTGTATAAGAGGGCATTGTACTCAACTTGCATGGCTTGTTTCCATTCAGAAATGGCGAGAGCTTGTATATGATTGGATGGTTCTGTAGTAGCAAGAAGAACTTTGGGTTTAAAAATTCCAGCTTTGGCGCGAGTATTCATGGAATGAGTGTTGTGAATAGTTTGAGATATGTTGAGAGGAGGAACAACATAATTAGTTTGTGGTAAAGTGGATGAAGTTGTATCAAGGTTGGGTTGAGTAGAAATAGAAAGAGATGGTGATGCAGAATTTGAATTCTCAAGAGGTATACCTGGACAGGGAACAATATCAGTAGAGGTCCTAGAAGGAACAAGATTAGTAATTACCTGTGGAATAGGATGTTGTGTTGAAACTATCAGAATTATAGGCAACATTGTCACTGGTTGTGCATCAGTCGAATGTGAATAGCAGTTTGGACTCTATCTTTATAAGGAGACTCAGTTTCATGGAACACCATATTTCTTGCCACAATTATTGAACCTTTACTAGTGAGACACTTGTATCCTTTATGTTGAGGGTTGTAGCCAACAAAAGTACAAAGTCTGGATCTGAAAATGTTTTTTGTAGAGTCTCAAATGTGGAAAAAAAAGCACAACCAAAAGGTTTGAGAAAAGAATAGTCAGGTGATTTGTGAAAAAGCTTATGAAAAGGTGTCTGAAACTGAAGATTAGCTAGGACTGGGCAACCTGTTGATGACATAATTAGTTGTGGCAAAAGTATCTGCCCAGAAACTATAAGGTAAATAAGAAGAAGCTAATAAGGTAAGGCCAGTCTCAGCTATATGTCTGTGTTTCCTTTCAGTAGTACCATGTTCCTGATGCATATATGAGCAACTCATTCTGTGTATAATTCCTTGATCTGTAAAAAATTTAGTGAACACAGTATATTCTTTTCCACCATTTGTTTGAACACACTTAAGTTTTATTTGAAGTTGATTTTCAACATGAGTTTTGAAATGATTAAAGTGTGTAAAAACTTCATATTTGTTGTGCATAAAGTACAACCATGTGAACTTAGAGTAAGCATCAATGAAATTTACATAATATCTATATATATCATTGATAACGTGAAGATTACATAAGAGTTAAGTTGGTTACATCTAACCCCACAAAATAATGGGTAAAACCGCTCAAAACAATGAGAGTGAAACTAAAATAGAGATGGAAGAAAGATGGAAGAACTGAAGGAAAGACCCACACACGAACGGTCCCAAGCACTAAGAATCCCTTCCATAGCTCCTAGAAGTCGCTCAATGTGTGAATGAGGGAATGAGCCTCGAAGATTTGATCAAATACGAGTTGGGTGACACAAGGTAGGGTTTACATGCTCGGCGCGTTATACTTCATGCCCGACACAGGGTCTTCCAGAGAGGTAATTATTCTCTGTCTCGAATCACGCCTGGCGTGTGTGCTCCTATGCCCAGTGCAATGTCTTTCAGAGAGTTTTGAATGCTCTTTGTTCTGAAGCACGCACGGCGCGAATGCTCTTGCACCCGGCACAATGCTAAAGTGCATAGGTGATGCTCTTTGTGTTTCTCAAGCCCGGTGCGGGTAGTTTGCGCCTAGTGCAATGATGCTTCTCTTACTCCTTAGCTCTTTCAATTTCCAATCCAATGGGTCTTCAACCTCAACTCTTTAACTCAATACCTGCACAAAAAAATAGGTGTATCAGGGTATTGTCAGATGATTTTTTGGTTAGCTATATCTGCACAAAAAAATTAATCAAAAAAGAACAATAATATTGCAAGAGTGCATGGGATGGGTGGAATTGTTCAATAAGTCCTATCTAAAAAGAAGTATAATTAAGAATAATAATAAGCAGTATCTGGTCGAGTGATTGTAGCATACTGCAATGCTCCTATTACCGATCTATATAATTGAGGAACTCTTCATACACAAGAATTTACAATATTTATGTTAGTGTATGTAGATGATATTATCATCACCAACAGCTCCGGTCAAGCAATTTCCAATTTAATAGCTAAACTCAATGCAGAATTTCCTCTAAAAAATCTAGGGAAGTTGCATCATTTTCTTGGTCTAGAAGTTCAACCAGCTTCAAATGGTGGCCTTCAACTCTCATAATAAAAAATAGAGAATAATTATATAAATAAATATAACATGGCTGCCAATACCTAGGAGAGTAGGATGCTGAAGGAAACTTGAATTTCTTGTGCTACCCTTTTTCTTTCACACTCTAATGTATTTTTCCAAAATTTCATTCCAATTAGATACATTTTTTTTTTCTTTGATCAGGGCTTTCTCTATTGTGAATTTTTTTCTCTCAAATATTTGAAAGTTGTTAAGTTAAACTTACCAGTCACATTAATTGATTACAGTGATACATGTGGTAGTTTTCCTTTAAAAAAAAAAAACTTAACGTTGTAAACTGAGAATGATTACTCAAGAAAGGAAGGAAATAAGTGATTACTCAAGAAACTGAATGTACGCATGTTCATTTTATTTTCAAAATTACAGTAAAACATATGGTGTGTAAAAGGAAATATAAGATATGTACAGGTAATATAGACTTTGATACTGAATATTTGGAGCATGGAGAGTCCAACGTTGATTAGATAATGCTTTAGTATGAGTGATCATGTATTATTGAAGATCAGGTTCACCACAAAAGGCATCTGGTTCAAATAATCTTGCAGATTCATCATTGTAAACTCCAGGTACAACTCTAACTCCAGGTTCTTTTGAGGTCAGATTTTGGTCCCCATCAATGTTAACGAGGATAACAGCACATACAAGTAACGAAGTTGCCAGACTCACCAAAGTAATTTTCAATCTGCTCAGTACAGGCTTTACCTTAAACATAGCAAAAGATTCTCGGTAAGTCAAATTATTATAAAGCAAAACATAATTGATTTTATGATTGACAAACTTAGAGTGTGGTTGCTGTAAAAAGTATACATTACTAAATGTGACAAATGGCAACAACTGTCATTACATGGGTCACATGTCATTCGGCTCGGTTAAACACCAAATATTAAGAAATATTATGTACTATTAGGGTTAGCATAGTGATTGGGTAGGAAAAGATTGGGATAAACTTTCAAAAACTTTTCTTAACATATATCCGAACAAGCTCTTATACACAGGGACAACAAAAGTTTTTTAAATGCCACTTATAAAAAGGAAAAGAGAGTAAATCATAAAGCTTCACAGAAATTTAAGCAACAGTCACTCAGCAAAAGCATCTTTCTGCAGTTTAACTCAAATAATTCTTGAAACTTGTTAACAAAATCACTGTCACATGGATGTTACAGTTAAAACAGCGATTCTAGCTCCACTACCAACATAATCTTAAAAAACAATTATAGTAGGTACAAAATAAAGCAATAATGCATTATGGGTTGGTTCACAGGACTATATGAGAACAACAGCGAAAGTGACAGTAGTTTAATAGAATGCTTACAGAAAATGATCCAAGTAGTCTATCGCGGGCCAAAACTTCAGCAGTCTTCACCCATATCTGTCAAGAGGCATTTAGGCTTAATATCAAAAGTAAACCAAATGACATCCATCAATTTCATCAACTAATTCGTCCATGTATTTTTCTAAGCAACATCATGTGCTCATAAGCCATTGTGCTGTATAAAATCTGCTAAGATTGATGACTTTGAACTTGTTTGAATATGTTTAGAAACATTTTTGAGAGTTTTTTTATTAAAAAATATTCTATATTTTCAATAAAGAAGTTCTTGAAACACTTATACCTTATATCCAAATAGACTTAATATTTTTTTTTAATAGTTGTGGTGGACTTCACAGTTCACACTAATATACACTAGTGTATTTTACATTTATTTGGAGACCTAAGCTAAGAGATGTTGGACTTCACTAGGACTTGGAGAAATTAAAACCTCCAAATTACACTGCACCAAGATTTTATAAAAATGAGGTGAAATATTCGGGAAAAAGAAAAACATACCTGGCCATCATACCACCCTGTCTCCTCATCTGCAATATCAATCAAGAGAAGGATGATTATGCATACCATTCCCAAATTTTAACACTGTTAATTGTTGAATCTTTCATTAAAAAGAAAACCTCCGAGAAGAAGGAAAATAATAAATAGCTTGATTTGCAAGTTATTTCCCGAATGTATACAACTCAAATTGCCTATAATTCTTATACATCACCATACTCTTGAAAAAATCTTCCAACAATATCCTCCAACTGATTATCTTATTTCCTTTGTATAAATTTTACATTTTAAAGACATTAAATAATTGACTTTAATATTTAATACTTTCTTTATAACGTAGTAGGAGGATTCATAGAAGGATACAGTGTTAACCTAGAAGTCGGAAACAAAAGAAAAATACTCTCAATCTCAAGAAGTTCATCCTTATTCATCTAATGTGCAACACACGTTGGCAGCGGAAAGCAGTATAGTGAGTTTAATTTTTACGAACATTAAGTGTATCTACATAGTTAATTAATCAAAAAGTTATTTTATCTAACTTTTAAAGAAACTATTATAAAAATCAAAAATCTTATCATATATAATGGTGTGTGACCAAATGATATGATTAAAGTGTTAAAAAATGAGGGAGGGAAGACATACATTCAACGGTGGCACTGAGCAGTCGGTTACCGACGTAAGCCCAGCCCAGATACATCCTAACGACAGCGAGCGTGACGACGAAGAGCCCACTGGACGCCGCACACAGCACTCTCTTGACGGGCTCCTCGGCCTGGGCCCAGGCGACGGGGAGGCCCACGAGCAGCGCGAAGGAGGCCCCCGTGGCGAAGAGGCGGGAGGCGTACTCGACGGCGTCTCCGGCGGCCCAGGAGAAGGGGAAGGAGGTGGAGAGGGAGTGGTATTCGTTTATGGGCTGCTGCTCCTGCGGAACAGGGCACTCTGTTTCGCTGTTCTTGGAACTCAACGAGAACGACCCAGTGCTTCTTGCGTGAACGCCAAATGGAGTGAAAGATGGTGAGAGGAATCGTGAGGTGGGGGAAAGAATTGATCTTGATGTTGGTGAAGCACAAGAGATGCGTATGGGTATTGTTGCCATTACCATTCTCTCTGCTTCTCTCGTTTTTGCTACACTCTCCTAACTAATAATCATACCATTATCCACATAGGATTTCTTAATTTAAGGTTTTCATCCCATACTGCGTTGTTGCTCTTTTTTATGATAACATCGTATGAGCACTTTATTAAAAAAACAAAACTAAAAGATTTAAATCCCCTTACATCAGTAATATATACAAGATAATGCTACGAGAAAGAATGTAAAACAGTTATAGTGAGACTCCCTAATATTTGAACAATCTATTAATTTAAACTTTTATGTCTTTCTCATAGCATGACAGTTTCATCTTCCTTGATACATAAAACGATAGTAATCCTATTATATATTCGATAAACACTCCCGTATGATCGCATAACATTTACCAAATGCCATAGAAACGACTATTCTGAAACTTAAAAGTTAGAACATAACTAAATATTTCCATAAAAGTTGCAGTCCGTGCCATATATCAAATTAGTCTTTAAGAGAGAATGATCATAATTCATAACAACAGGTAGAAAGTATACTTGCTCAAGAAAACCTCAAGCTGAGTAATGGGAAATACATATTTTCCTTTTCCCCTTCCTTTCTTTCCACTTTTTTTTTTTTTCTTTTTCCTTTTCTTTTTACAATTCCACTAGAACCTGAGAGATCGCATGTTTACAATTCCAAATAAGACCTCTACAGACAAAGAATAATTTTTGTACTTTTTTCCTTTTTGTTTTTTGCTTTTCTTCCCTCTGGGGATCCTTCATTTGTACCTATTCCAGCTAAACCTCCACTGCACTTATGCAGATTTAGGGGAGGGGCCTGCTCTTTTCTGAACGGGTTGTGTCCAGTCCCAACTTTGAATGTACGTCACACTTCCCAGTTCAGCAATATCTTAATATGTCAAGATGGACTAAAAACAAAAACTTTAGCTGCACTGGTTCTTTGAACCAAGGAACAACTTTAAGTATTATTACAATTACAATAGCTATGTTATAGACAACTTCGTTTAATGAGTTGAGCTTGGTTTTGGGACAACCAAATGTTGAAGACGGTAAAGACGAGACATCAGCTGTGAGAACGATGGCCGCAAGTGTGGCTCCCTGCATCAAGACCAATCCAACTCAAATCAAAACAGAACAAAACAGTAGTATCAATGGAACTTTAAATATTATGTCTTTCCATTTTTTTTTTTTATGGTGAGGGGAGGGGGATAATCCTTGTTTAGGGTTTTCTATTATTAAGAACATCAATTCATATATTTTTACTTATTTAGGTTTTCGTTATCTTCTCTATTTATTTTTTTTTTACTTATTTGGGATTTTGTTCTTGTAGTTTCTATTCCTTAATGATCACTTTTCCGTGAAGATATGGTCCCTATAGTGTCAACATATGGTTTTGGTTCCTGTAGAGATCAATATCTAAAATGATGAAAACTCCAAGACCGTAATATTATTTAAACCACTAAAATATAATTAAAAATCCAAGGTTTATTCCGAGGCATATTAACATATCATTAAATAATTATTGAAATCATTATTACTTCTCTTTCCTAACAATAAATCTGTCTTTTTTTTTCCTTCTCAAAACTACTCATATATTACTCCCCTCTCCTAATGAATACTCCCCTAATAGTTTCCAAAGCCTCAGTATATGAAGAGGCAAAATTAAAGTGCATACCCTTTAAAGAGCCTATAATTAACTAGAGAGGTCGAGACACTTCATGTCCCTAATAATTACACACAAACAAAAAATATATAAGATTTTTTTATATCCGAGAGGTATAATCGTCCACTAAAAAATGGAGACCAAAAGGGTGATTACTAAAATATATCCTCTTTATAATAGGTATAGATAGATGTATTCAACCAAATTAAGAGAACATTTGTTAATTAAGGGTATCTTAATCCAAAAATAATTGATACACGAGACAATATGGATTGAATCTTATATAAAAAAGAACAAACAATTATTCTATAATGCATCTTATAAATAAGAACAGAGATAATATTACTTTTACTTTTTTATCCAAACTTTATCATTTTTTATCTTTTTCATTGACTGTTATAACTTTGAATGTTTGCTAAAAATCTATGGAGTGCTTTCAACTTTCAAGTAACTTCTAAGTAACACTAAAAGTAAACAAAAAATAAAATAAAATAAAAAAGACTAGAAGCTGTTTGTTAAATTTCATTTTTTGTTTTGCTTAAAAGTTTGTTTTAAGCTATAAGTTATTTGGTTTTTTTAAAGAGAAAAAAACCTCAATTGTATAAAATTAGTTATCTCATCAAATGTAAAAATGTATCCATAAAATAAAAAAGTATCATGTAAAATAATTTTAATAACAAATAAAAAAAATCAAACAAATATTGAAGGTTTAATTTTTCAAAAATATCAAAAATTACTTGATGAAACAAAACTTTATATTAATGATAATTTGCAAATAATATATAATATAAATTAAGAAAACTTAAATTTTAATTATAAATAATAACTATTTAATTCATTATATATTGTTCAATAATATTTTTAAAGAAATAAAAATTTACTTATGCAAAATTCAATAATATTAAATTACATTAAAAAAATTCAAAAAGTATTATATATGTCAAAACACTCGATTAAATAGTAAACACTTCACAAGGTTATATACAACATAAATTATCTTCTTTACAAAAAAAACTAATTAGCAATCAAAAGAAGTGGAAAAAAGTTAAATAAAAAAATATATATTGCAAGAGGAAAACAGCTAACAAGATTTTTTAGAGAAGCATGAGTTTCAACAAAATAAAATAAAATACATGCAAATATTAATTGGTGTACTAACAAAATAACTCCACTTAAACTCTCTTAGTTTTTCCAAAAGCTCCCTTTTTCATTATTTCTTCACAAATAATAAACTACTTATTTTTTAAGAGTTTCTATACAAATGTGTTTGACTCAACTTTTGTAACGTAGTAAGTTGGTTCAAGGTTTAGTGGATGCTAGGGGGAAGAGTATATAAGGCTTTCTCTGAGAACATAGCCTCATAAGCTCATTCTCAAAGAAATTAGAGAGAAGTTTTAAAGAAAAAGACTCTGGTTCGTGAGTCTCTTTCTCTCCCAAATTTCTCTGATTGATTCTTCTTCTTCTTCTCTAGATCACTAATTTCTTATATCTTTTCTTCAAATTTAGGCTAAGAAACTTGTTTTGGAGGATTGAAGTCCGAGGGTTGAATTTCGGGGGAAAATCTTCTTCCTCTTTTTAGCTGTTCTGGGCCAATCTTCAAGTGAGGGAAGCTAGAATGTAGTTTGTGGTTGCATGTGAGTTTAAGAACTCAATTGACGTATGAATTTTGAGAATCAATGGGTAAATTGAGAGAATTGCTCATTTTTCGGGGTTTTGGAAAAAAATGGGATTTTTGGTGACTTTGATACATTGAGTAGTTGCATGTTGAATCTGAGGTTGTTTTTGAGTTGTATGGAACTTATGTATTTCATTTCATGGATTGCATGTGGTTGTATCTCATGATTTCCAGGTTTTTGTTGGAATTTTCAAAGTTTGTGGAGGTTGCTGTTTGAATTTGCGTCGGGCGCGTGTTTTTGCCGTTGAGCGTGTATTCATCAGGAGAAACCATTTCTAAATCACGTCGGACGCGAGGTTAGTCGCGCCGGGCGCGATTGTAAATGGGAGTTTTTGGATGAGATCATGTCGGGCGTGAAGAGAGCTACGTCGGGCGCGATATCAGATAGTGGCCTTGTCTTGCAGGTTACTGATATGGCGCCGAGTGCAAGGTAGGTGTCGGGCATGGAGACCTTTGGAGGTCTCTATTTAGATGGCGTCGGGTGCAGGATGGGTGCGTCAGGCGTGGAGACTCCTGGGAGTCTCTACCTACAAGGGCGACGGGCATGATAATACTACGTCAAGCGTGAGAGAGCTTTAGAGCTCTCGGGTTGGGTTCAGGTCAGGCACGAGCTTACTTGCGTTGGGCATGAATATGTTTGGTTTTATGATTGAAAAATGATGAATTTTGTAGTATGATGAGAAGACACGATTGCGAGTTAAGAGTTATATGTTGAACTTTAATTGTGTAGTGTGTAGAGATGTTATATGTATGAATCGAATGAGTTGTTGTGTTGTTAAACAGTGTTGAAGAGTTGTTGTGCTGATAAACTGTGTTGTTAAAGTTATGAGTTGCCTGTGTGGTTCAAGTTGAAGGTTGTTTTAGATGATGAGTTGAAACCTATGTTGATTGTGTTGTGATGATGAGTTGTTGATCACTAGGACTAGAGAAGTTTTTGAAGTTATTCATCCCATTGTGCGGATTGAGATAGTTGTGGTGCTCTGAGAGCCAAGTTTGCTGAAAACCCTCATTGGGAAGTTGTTCATTGGAGTGGATGATGTGTTGTTCTCCTCTAAGACTTAGTTGGTCTCGTGTGTGGACAAGGTCCAGGCACACATGTATGAAGCGACCACAATATAGGGACCAGGTCAAGCTATATCGATTACAAGCGACCAATTCGAATAAAGTACGAAGTTGGGAACTTAGTTCCTAACCGAGTATCGGAGGGTTGTAGTATTTGGAGGATAGTCAGTAGGCTAATCCCATAGGTGGCTTAGTTAAGCTAGCTAATATCGTAATAGGCCTAAATCCAATTGTACTATCCTGACATAGTACTATATGTAGTTGGGTTGTGAAGCTGGGGTTGAGTTGTGTGTTGTTATGTGTTGTATGTTGAATTATTGAGGATGATGATAGTGTTATTGTGTTGTAAGTTGAATTATTGAGGATGATGATAGTGTTATTGGTTTGTAAGTTGTTTATAGGTTAAAAACCTCTTTTGGTCCCTGATAATATTTTTTTGTTTCAATTTAGTCCCACTTTAATTTTAGGTCTCAATTTGGTCCCCAATAATTTAAATCATTGCAATTTGAAACTTTCGTCCAAATGATTTAAACAGGGTTAACTCCGGCTGACGTGGATGCCAAGTGGATGCCACGTAGATGCATAGGTGAATGTCAAATGTCATGAATACACCTGGAACCAGAACAGCCCGTTCTGCATGCACATGTTATGTGTTAATTTTGCAACTGGAACGGGCCGTTCCAAATGCAAATTTAACACAACATGAGTGCAGCAAAACGGGCCGTTTTGAAACCAGAATGGGTCGTTCTGCTATTAGAACGGGCCGTTCTGAATTCAGAACAGCCCGTTCCAGAACGCCAACTTCATGCTTTTTATTGTATTTTTTTTATTATATCTATATTAATAAAAATATAATAAATAAAAAATACAATAAATTAATATTCATTTATGAATAAAAAAAAATTAAATAAGATAAGACCTTCCAAAATCCTTCTTTGATTTGAACTTATCCAGTTCAAAATCTTGACTAAAATGCCGCAATGTGATTCAAAAATTGAAAATAAAAATGCATAATATATATAAATTCAAAGACAGAAACATGGTTCAGAAACTGAAGGGAAACCCTAATCCACAAAAATCCAGGTTGTACCTCCTCAAGAACAGGTTGCTATTGTTGGGGTACATCGTCAATGACTTCAAAGGGAAACATCGTTTCGTTTCATCCTTGACTGTATAGTGTCAATTTAGTAGTAAGTGGTTCACTTCAGTTTGACTAACAATGAAATAAAACTTGTTACCATTGTCCTTAGTGATACACTGCATTGTCCTTAATGATACACTATATAGCCCAAATATTTAGCAATTGAAGTTATCAATCCCCATTAACAATATTACCAAATCTAGTGTTTGAAATGCTCTGTACTTTGATTTTTTTTTGCACGAAATTCTGGAACCAGAACGGGCCGTTCTGGTTCCAGGTGTATTCAAGTATTTTGGGATCCACCTACGTGGCATCTACGTGGCATCCACCTGGCATCCACGTGGCCACCAGTTAACTC